TACGCTTCTTGTCCGTTGAACAAATTTAGCACATAAAGATTGGCTGAAATCATGTTATATCATTATTTTATCCACAGAAGCACACTCAAAGCTCCCCTCTCATAACTACGATCCATATACTGTGTTACACAAGTGATTGGTTCATTGTCATTTGAGTTTGAGTCAAATGAAAATCTAAAAGTGGATTTTAACGAATGTATGGCATATTGACTATCAAGTAGAATGCTTTGTACATACTTACTAAGACAACACACATCACAAGAATGATCATGCCAACTACTCCAGTGAAGGGAATAAGGTAGTACGACAATGGAAAAGAAAACTCTGGCTTGAGGATCACATAGGCCCTGCAGACCAAGAAAAGACACATCCATCACATTCAAACTTTTCTCTTATGTTCGTATATTAACTTCTAAACATCTTCACATGTTTTTACTTACCCTAGTTCCGGAATTATAAAATTCCTGAGAATTTGGGAAGCATAGAAGCTGGTGAAGACTGATGGGATCTCTATTTCCTCTGCAATAGTGTCTGAAAATAAAGAACATACAACATTAACATTATAGGCAGTTTAGTAAGATGGTAACAAAGTTTGAAATAATGTACATCTTATATAGCACAATTACCATTGCTGTAGTTCATATTGAGCAGAGTGTCCGAATACATGTTGTGAATGACTGCAGCATTGTATCCAGCTTGCTGTGCGTGCAAGACCTGAAACCCAAAAAAGTGCTGTTTAGACCACCTTGCCTCTCAGACACAACAACATATTAATTGCCACTCTAACACTATTGACCTTTATGTCAAAATTGCAATCATAGCGTCTGATGAGAACAATGGTTTTGGTGGTATTGGCATCAAACGATGGTGGCAATGGAGGTGGAGGGTCTATTGCTGTGCAGCCATTCAGTGGACGGGACACCACCAAAACTCCCTTACACACAAAAAGAAAACCATTATTATTATCATCATCATCATCATCATTATAAAAGACTCTGGCCAATTTTCATTTGCATGTGCAGTTTCTCTAACGGTCTACCCTCACCATTAGCCCTTCCTTAGGAAGTGGAGATCCAAACAAGGCAGGAAGGTCCTCAAATAACATGGAGGTCATATTGCTATAATGCTGCAGAAACAATACATATACAATGTAAGAACTGAAATAATTTATAGGAGAATTTGTAATATTATGTTATATTTATGTCAAAAGACTATGAAAGTTCATGAGATAAATATCCTGGACTACTTACTGCATAGATATAGGCATGTGTGGGTGAGGGCACCAGGACGCTGCAGAAAACCAGTATGGCGACATTCAGTTGAGCTCTGAAGAACCACACACCAACGTGCACCATCCTTGGAGGCTTACAGTCACGCTAAACTGTGTAAGAGATAAAGCGATACAAATCATGAACAGAAGGAAAATGCTTCCAATGCTTCAAGTTGAAACTGATCATGCAGTTTAATAACAGCCTGGCATTAACATAGAAACACAAGCGATACCAGGATGCATCAACATGTACTTTCCTGCTTAAAGGTTCAGTGTGTAGAATCTTGTGACATCTAGTGGTGAAGTTGTGCAGCTGAATACCCCTCAACTCACCCTCCCCTTCCCCCCCAAACATGAGAGAGAACCTGTGGTAGACTTCAGTTATCATAAAAACTGAAAAAGGTGTTTAGTTTGTCCAGTTTGGGCTCCTGATGTAGATATAAAGTATTTAAATGTAAAGGGACCATTCTCAGGTAAAGAAAAAAACAATTTTTACAATGTAGATGATTACACACTAGTGAAAACATCATTATGATTATTTTATAATAAATTTCTGCCAATAGATAGCTTTCAACTAAATCTTAGTCTATGGTACATGTAGTTATAAGGAAATCCAAAGCAGCAATAAACTCTCGTGTAAAGACGTGCCAGGAGAATATGGAGCAGATCTACAGATTCACCCCAAAATGTCCAAACAATAAATTGACAGACTCTTGATTCGCTTCTAATTTAAATGTGATGATTAAATTAAATATGATTAAAAATGATCTACACGCCTTTAACATTTGAGGCCCTTATGTGGCAATATTGCAAATGTGAAACCCAGTTCTGGTTGACTCTGCTGGTCCTTTTGTTTAAGATCAAACATAAAACACGTTTAATCAACGTTATCATTTATAAATTATATAACTTGTTAAATCGTGTAAAAACATCACAACAAACCTCGTAGTCGATGTCGTCGGTGTTGTTGTGTGGTTAACTTCCTACCTCAGTAGCCTGCTAATGTCGGCGCCGTGGAGTCTGTGACTTAAGCTTTTTCCACTTGTCTCACTTTTGTTTCTGACATGTCATCGTGTAAAATCAGTAGAAGTTGATCAGTCACCCACGTCCTCTTCTCCACAATCCTATAAATCCACAAGAAAAACGACAGGAAGGAAGGATTATCGTTTTAACGTTAGCTAGCTGGTTAGTGCTAGCAGGCGTTAAGTAGCATTTACGATAAATCTACTCCTCGACCAATTGCTCTTTGTATTCTTTATGGTCTTTATATATTATTTTGTACAACTTTAGTAGTATATAAAACCAAAATATGTTTTGTCCACCGTAAATGGCTCACTCTGCCTGGGTTCCCCAAAACTCGCGTTGGCTAGCTGCGGCTAGGTTTGTGTGTTCCTGTGGTTTGTTTTTGCTTCTTGCTCCCTGCTACTTCTTCGCGCCGTGTGAAGGAAGGTTGACTCAGCGGCATCCACACCCACAGCGCCATCAGCGGCTAGACGGAGAAACAGCAAAAATCTCGTTGCCATACACGGTGCACACGCCTGATTTTCGGCGGGGCAGTGGCTCAAGTGAGAAAAAGGGAACTTCTCCTAATCATTTATTTAAGAACATTTTTTAGAACAAAAAGTTAGTAAAACATCTATGACATACTTGACAATTTATTTTACTACCCTAACACTCACGCACTTGTTAAATACTCAACAGTTCACACAGAGACAATGGTCTTCTTTGGTATTCACAAGGTAGACAGAGCAGACAACAACAAAGGAAACAACAAAGCATCTTGATGTATTTCGATGTATCACATCCATAATTTCCTATATTACATGGCTGCTTTTTCATCAGTCAATATTAGTTAATAAAATCAGTCAAATATGAACTCCCTTTTTATTTAGAAAATGCTTTAAAAAGTAGTATAGACTGTTCCTGTTATTACAAGAAATGTCCACAGCTCTGTCCACAGGAGTCATGGAGGGAGGGAGGGTAGAGACTATAGTCTAATCTCCCTGATATTTAGATATTTTATTTAATCGATATATTTGTTGACAGGGAAGCTGTTATTAAAAAACAAAAACACACTAGAAACTAGAAACTTTCTCTTGAGGAATAAAAAGAACATACATGTGTGCACGTGTATGAGCAACAATGTGTCTTAAATGAATATAAAATTTGTTATGGAAGCCTGTTGGATCAAAATACAAGGTTTGACGGAAAATCGTGTCTCATATTACAAGTTACAAGTTACATCTCAAGACATGCAGCTACAATCAGTCAGGTCCCTGTCTACTTCATCTACAGGCCACATGACTGGATTCCCTGTTTACTGGTGCATGTAAGCTGCCAGAGACTGCATGGCCTCCAGCGAGGGTCCACTACAGAACAGTTGCAGTTCAAACCTTATCAAGATCCATCAGAGGGCAATATGTGGGGCTGAGAGGACATAAGTCAAGGCAATTCAGATATCAGGCAGTGGTTTCTCCAATACTGCCCTCAAGAGGTACGATCACTCTACTGTCACATACAACAACATTCACTGTTCTCGCTCTTTCATCCCAATCAGAATTGGGGTTTATTGTCTAGTAGGTTTATTTATATTTAAATCAATGCATAATTTGCTGTGGTGTGTTTATGCAAGTATAAATATAAAAAAAAAAAGGAAACAAATAAAATGTGAAAATATTCAAAGCAAGCACCAGGGAAGGTATTATGAAATATGTTGTAAATAAACAGTAGAGAATGGACATGACATTGTACAACTAAGTTCAACAAAGGATTACCTCTGCAAATGAATACTGAGATGTGTAATGGCCACTGGTTGATACTTATAAATGACTCATCAGTGAAAGTAGGCAGAAGTAAATACAAACATACAAATTCACAATAACTGATACGCCACATTATCTAATGCGCATTCACAGTAATGGCAACAGCAGCAGCAGTGGTGCAGGTTCAGTGTTTTGTGGACTGAGTCTCACAGTCGCTCTTTACCTGCTGTGGATCAATTACTGCAGGGCAATTTTACAGTTTCAGAAAGAAAAGCAGCAACCAGCATCACCACAGACCAAGCAAATAGCCCATTCCAAAGACTGACAAAAAATAATCTTTGGTAAATA